AACGGGGAGCTGCTGCTCCGGTATAGAGGACAGCATGAGAGGCACGGTGGTGGCAGAGGTGGATGGCATGAGGACTGCCTTTGAAGATAAAATGCAGACCCTGGAGGACAGGTTCATGACCATTGTAGGGGAGCTGAACAACATCAGTTCTCCTGTGGGCATGGACGGAGCAGTGGTGCCCGTGCTGGAGGGGGAGCTTGCCAACATGAGGAAACGGACGGACGAGACACTCGAGGTGTTGCAAAATCGCCTCATCACGCTGGAGAGCACTTGTTCCCTGGGCTGCACCTCCGCCTCCAAAGATGTGGAGACCTTCCGGACAGAGATTGAAGACTGCCAGAACAAGAACCAGGACCTGCTCCTCCGGATGGACAGCAACTACGACCTCCTGCGCAAGCTGAACGCCACCATCCTGGAGATCCAGCGACGAATCGAGGAGGAAGCATCGGGGGCTTTGCAAGGGGAGATCACCTTGCTAAAGATCAACCTGAACACTGTGAGCAAGTCTCTGACAGGGCTCAAGGACTCTGTCTCCCAGTACTCGGACACCATGACACACATCAACTCCTCGCTGGATGAGCATGAGCGGAAGATTGAGGATGAGGTCCACTCCATCCAGGAGAAAGTCAACGACCAAGGCTCCCAGCTCTTCTTCAGCAACCGGCGTGTCCTGAATCTCAAGGGAGACTTAGAGCGACTCAAAGCCAGGATTGTCAGTGATCTGAGCTCCTGCAAGAGCGTGGCCCAGGACCTGCAGCAGGAGATTGCTCACTTTGATGACCGGGTGGCCCGGGTGGAGAGCGTCTGTAGCAGGCTGGGTGCCGTTACGGGGAGCCTGGATGGCATCAGGGATGAACTGGAGAAACACACGGGCAGTCTGTGGGACTACATGGACCACATGAATGGCACCTTGGCTGCCCACTCTCAGGAAATAACGGGTCTGAAGGACAACCTGCTTGACTGCCAAGCCAAGGTCTCTGAGCTGGCGGAGCAGGTCGGCCACTTGGAAGAACAGGCGGAGGGGAAGCAGCATTAGCCATGCTGCCACACACTTCTTCCTTCTCCTCCCCATGAAGGACAGGATTAACTTATATCACACAGACTTGCTCCAATGTGACAACAGTTCTTGGGATAATTTTTTTAATGAAAAGATAAATTAAAAGCTGCTACAACCCCTTTTTTTAAAAAAAAAAAAAAAAAAATATCTTGTCAGCCCCACTTTTCCGTACTGTTACGGTACTCACCGCCTGATGCTCAGCAGCTGTCCTGACCCTGGTGCAGCAGGGTCACTGCCTCCTGGCTGGGGGCGTTGCTTTGGCTCCTGGGCTGATGACCCCAGAAGGACAATTCAGGAGGAAGCTGGAGGCGGGAATTTTTTTTTTATTTTAATTTTGTGGATTTATCACTTCTTGAAGAATAAAACCCTGTAGTTGTCAGTTGAGGAATAGAGTTTCTCTGACCTAAAGACCACCTGCATCTTAATCCAGGGACTGAGCAGAGCCAGGGCTCCTTACAGGGAAAAAAACCTCACCACAGGAATTGCGGATTTCAAAGAACACACGTATTCACACACCCCTCTGGGAGCTGCCTTCCCCTCTCTGAGATGGCAGCTCTCCTCATGTACGGTAAATCCATTTATACTACTCATTCCTTCATGCAAACGCACATGCCTTACAGAGCATATGAGGATATGCATTAGGAAAACACACACGCATATATATATATATATGGTATGCATATGTATATTTTTGAACAATCCCCTGTCATGGTGCTCATCTGATTGCAAAGTTTCCTCTTGCTGCTCCTGTATCCGTTGCCATATTTCGAAGAACCACACTGAGCAGCTAAAAACCACCGCAGCAGCATCTGGGGGAGGGCCCCGCAGTCCCTCAGGGCTGCCGTGCTTTGCAATCCCACTTCGCTGTGCTCTCTGGTTACACCTGAGACTGACATGAAGGGTTATTTGTGTCTTCCCCAAAGAGATGTGTGTCCATAGGTGCCTACAGAGACCAAGGTGGGCATGGAGCAGTCCTGTCCTCCAGCTCTACTTCTCTCCTGTTTTATTGCTTAAACTGTGAACGTGGTTTCCCTCATCTCATCCTGGGGCAGGAAAGCTACAGCTGCTCCAGGTGTGAGCATGAGGCTCTCCCTGTCCGGCAGTGCGGGAGCAGGAGCCTGCATCCTCCTCACGTTCCTCTGAGCCCGCTGGGATGCCAGCAGCCCTGGGGACCCACACCAACATGGAGCACCAGGAAGGGGGAGGCAGGGTGCCTTTGAGAAGACCTCTCGAGACCTCTCCACAGCTTAGCCTGGGAACGAAAAAATTATTTATCCAACTTGACTCTAGTTTCCCACAAACACACAGGCTGGAGAAGGTTGTACATGTTCCTCAGCAACTCCAGCCTTGCCCTACGGAACAGGCGCCTGGACCGTGTGGGCTGTTGCACACTAAATCCGCCTCTCCCGGGGAGCCCAGCACGGGTGTCCTCTGCTGCTCAATCAACAGGGACTTCATTACCAGAAGGGATGAAGAGGAAATTAAAGAGCCTCCATCTTAACAGGTCTGGCACTTTATAGCAGAGGAACATATTTTTCTATCAGCTCAGCGTTGCAGCTCACGGACCCTTCCACACCAGCTTGCCTTCAGCTCCCACCTTGTGCCCATCACCCTCACCAGGCCATCCCTGCTCTTCTGCACCACAATTCCCCGCCGGTCCCACAAAGGAGCAGCTCTGCGCTCTGACCAGCACAAAGCAGCAGCAACTCCCAGCAGAGATGCATCTGGGCGCCATTTCTCCTCCATAAAAACTGGATGAGCTCCCTGGAACAGATGCTTCCAGGCTGAGGAGGACCACAGGGATCACTGAGTCCAGTTGGCTGCGTCACATTACCCTGATACAGTAAAAGCTCTTTCCCCTGCCAGAGGAGCATGGGCCATCAGCTGTATGAGCAGGGAGAGGGGACCTGGCCTCCCACCACTCGCTCACCCCTGCCAGCTCACAGGCTGCTGGATGCTCACAGCACCAGAAGCTACTCTTGCTGCTCTGGGCTTTGCTGATTTGGAGCTACACTACAGCTGCTGAGACACTTCTCCAGCTGAGGAGCAACCTCCAACTGCCTTTGGGCATCCTGCAAAACCTGCTCTTAGACAACAAAATCTATGTGTGTTGTCCCCCCCCCCAGCCCACGGAAGGGGTCTCAAGCCAGCCCTTGGCACTTTGCGATGGGCCCAGGGAGCCCTTGCCCCACAGGAGCATCCTGCCCAAGCCCCCTCCCCATCCTCTCACAACAGGGAGAAAAAAAGGCTGCAGCAACCAAAGAGAAAATTAAGCCAAGGGCCAGGCTCATCCCTTCCCAGGCAGAGCTGGGTTAGAGAGCAGCTGAACAGCAACAGCTTCCTCCAGCACAGAGGGAGCTGGGACTGGCCATAACAAAACTAGGACAAGGAAGAAGTCTGACCTTCCAGAAAATGGTGCTATGTTTGGACTATTCCTGACTAGTCACTTGAAGCTATGGACAGTTTGTATTTCAGTTCTCAGCTATTCATTTTTAAAAAGTGAAAGGAACTTTGTACAAAATAGGGCATTTTTTTAAATTTTTTTTTTTTTGCTTGCAGAGAAGGAAGATGGTGCCTATGCAGTTGTCCTTGCATGGGCAGCTTTCTGAGGCAGTTGATAACTGATCCTGTTAAAAGGCTATGTTTTATTGTTTTTAAAACCTTGTACATTCGTTCAGATTTTAAAAGCTGAAAAAGTGTTTGTACTGGAAAGGAAAAAAAATAAAGTATTTCTTGCTGAGGTTTCCAGGATCAAAATGACTTGTGTGGCTTTCAGAAAAGCAGAGCTAGACTTAAAGCACAGAGGCAGGCAGACTAGATGATTTACATTCTCACCCATGGTCAGGGAAGGAGAAGGTGGATGCCAAATCGGAGGAAGGAGCCCAGCAGTGCTCCTGCCTGTTTTGTTTTATGTAGTTACAGCTGAGAGCTCCCAGAGCAGGGGCAGCAGGCTGGATGAACACCCAGCAGGGCTGGCAACCAGATTTCAGAGAAGTCCCCCACCCAGCACGGAGACAGGCTGGTCGAGTCCCAGCCCAACCCTGCTTTAGGATAGCTGAGGTTTCCTTGAACGCTCCAATACAGGGGCACAGGAATAAGCTCCTGCTCTAGCGCAAGATCGTGGTAGCCTACTGGCACAGGAGAGATTCACCCCATGCACACACACATAAAGCCAGGGTTTGCTTCCTGTAATAAATCAATTTTGCAACATTACCTGAAGGTAGCAGGCAAAAAAATAAAGAGAGTCCTCTTCTAGTGCAGCTGCTCCACAGTCCAAGGAAGCTGTAGGTCCTGCTCCCATCTCCACCAAGACCAGACCCCCTTGGCAGGGCACTTCAGCAGGATAGGATAAACTCAACCACGTTTGTAAAAATGACACAGAGCCTGGCTCCCACTTCCATGCACAGGGCTACAGCAGACAAGAGGCAGCCTGGATTAAGGCACTATTTATTAATTGTTGCTGTTAGTGACTATTAGTGAAGAAAACTCAAAACCCCAGCAGCTTGCATCCACCTTAATGATTTGTTAAAACATGGGACAGCTCCAATCCATCAGCTACTAAACTGCAGGTAGCTGGACTGTCTGGGAACAGTGGTCATACTGGAGATAGAAATAGCTATGCCAGAGGCTCAACAATAAATTAGACAGTAACCCATCACCACCTTTAAAGAAAGAGCCAGGCTTTAAAAGTGTTAAGAACATTAAGAGAAGACCAAGCTTATAGGAATTTCCATTTAGTAAATGGAGTTTTTGTAGAGTCAGAGCTCCCTCTTACCCCTCTTTGGCCCCCAGAGAAGGGGTGTTTCTAGTGCAGAACATGACCCGTATTAGAAGTGCAAAATGCCTGAGCAGCAAACAGGGAGGAGGAAATGCATCTGGAGCATCCAGTCCTGGCAGAGGACACACAGGAGAGCCCTGGGTCAGGTCTCCACAGGTAACGGGGTCAGGAGAAGTCCTCCAAGTCAACAGCAGGCAGTGGAGGTCTCCAGTAGGCAAAGTGGCTGTACTCTGGACACACCAGAGCGATGCTCCCACTCTGCCCCAGGGGAGGGAAGATCAGCTCCACCAGCTCTGACAGCCGCTCATACCTATGGGGGTAAGAAACAAGTTGCATTGGGGTCGTTGGGGCTTTGTTTGCTTTTCTACCCCATGAGATGCTTCTCTGGGTCAAAGCCAGGTTAACCCAAAGGTGCCGAGGAACAAGCACATCGCTTACGTTGACTTGTGGTTCTTCATGAGCTCCTGGATCAGCTCTCCCTTGGGGTTGACCGTGAATATGCGGCTCTCCGGCAGGCCCACTTGCTTGTAAGCGTAGACATCCTGCCCAAGGAAGGCCAGCCATGAAAGCTGCAGGAAGGCACCACCGCCACTTCAGCCCGAGCCCTCCCTCTGCCCCAGGAGACCCACTCACATTCGCTCTGTTCCCAAAGGCTGCGTAGAAGGGCAGCTTTGTGGCAAACAGGTTTTGGATGTCCATCAAGCAGGCGATCTTGAACACCTCTGGCTTCTTCTCAATGACCTCCCTGCAGCACAAGCAGCATGCACAGAGCAGAGGTCAGAGTGGCAACAGCTGGCCAAGACTGTGGGCAGCCAGGCTGTCAGGGGCTCAAAGAAGTGATTTGAAGGGCAAGAGAGGTTTTATGCACCGGGAGTTCTGCTGTGAAGCTCCAGGGAGGGCAGGCAGTTCCCCTCCTGCCTCCTACGAAAGGCATCCTGCAGCAAGGAGGCCAGAAGCAGTTTAAGGCTGTGACATCCCTCAGTGTTGAGCTGGGGAAGGGGGGTGCTGTCCCCAGGGACACAGGAGGTGCAGGGCTGGGGAGGAGGAGAGGATGCGGTACCTGTGGAAGGCGGAGAAGAGGCTGCTGGGGGCGAGCAGGATGGGGCCCTTGGGGAGGGCACAGCCTTGCTCGTTGACCCATTTGAGGTAGCCTTTGGTGATGTGTGCCATGCCGATCGCCCTGGCTGAGCAGTAGAGGAACTTGTAGCCATTCCTAGAGAGAGCACAGGGAAGCCCTCTGAGCTGTGCCCTGGACAAAGTGTCCTCCCTCTCCTGCTCTGAGGTGGAGGAGGAGGAAGAGGGAGGATGAGGCTGAATACCTGGCCTAAGCCCAAACCCTGTTCGTCCCTTCAGCAAGCAAGGCGGCTTCACAAACAACACGACTCACTCACCCTGAGACTCCGGCTAAGACAGATCTCCGCCTGCCTCACTGCTGGGAAGCCGCACCGGCGGGGGACCCCGTATCACCCTCCAGACCTTCCCAGCAGCCGCACGCCCATCCCGGCTAGAAAGCACCCTTTGCTGCTTGGTACCCATGCAACCGGATGGGACCCCCCAGGCCAGCACCTTTATCACACCGGGCTGCCTGCAGCTTGTGGGGGGCTGGACACAGCCCCTGCAGACCCCCGAGCTGCCAGCACGGCTGGATGGGCAGCTCGGGGAGAGGGGGTACGGCGCTTTTGAGGGCTCGGAGGTTGCAGGAGACAGCCGAGGTGGCAGCGAGGGCAGCCCCAGCCCCGCAGTAGCCCACCCGCAGCCCTCCGGGGAGCGGGAGCCCCGTGTCCCCCACCCCGGGGCCGGGACGAGCCATCCGCGGGCCCACAGTGCCTCTTAGTGGCCACAGGTGCCAGGGACGGAGCTGGAAGCCGGGCTCCGCCGGGTGCGGGTCGGTCCCCGGGGGTGTGGGAAGCGGTAGGTGGGCACCCAGAGAGGCAACCGGCACCGGTCCGCGGGGCTGGCGGTGCTGGGCGGACCCCCGTGCCGCTGCTGCACAGCGACCCAAAGGTATTCGGCTATGCCTGTGGCCTCCCAGGTGTAATCCTGTAAGATTTCACCTCCTTCAGTGCTCAGGTACATCGCCCCAGCAAAGCCTCCGCTGACACACGCTCCTCCCAGGGAAGGCAACGCAAGCATCTGCTCCGAGCACCCAGGGGACGCCCCCTGCTTTCACCCCCCAGCATCATCCAGACAGCACAGCAAGCATCAAGCATCAACCATCACCGGCGGCAGAAAATTAGACTATTTTGGCCAGCATCAGTAAGGAGCCCTGAATCTGTCTCCCACTCAGCCTCTCCTCCATCATCCTTCTGCTTCCCCTTGGCCTCAGTTGAAGCGATACCTACAGGTGGATTTTGTGGAAGAGCTTAGCAATCCCATGATGAGTCCAGTCTTTTCCCAGATGCGGCAAGATGTGCCCAAGAGCATCTGACCTATAAGGAAAGGAGAGCAGGTTAGGATGATCCAGCCTGGTGGGTACATGGAAGGCAATGGGGTTTGTGATCCCTCCTGGCTGTTTATGCAAGCCTTGAAAGGATACTTTCCCCTAACAGGTGGGAGCAGGGCTCTTTACTTGGTGATGGTGCCATCGATGTCCGAGATCACCACCTTGTCATCCCAGTTCCACAGGTAGATGGTGGCCTCACAGCGGCACGTGCCCTGGTACTGAGTCGTCACACTGAACGCCACCTCGTTGGGGCCATCCTGCAGTTTCAGCTTCCCCTGTGGCAAAGTGGGAACAAGTGTGGTGTACCAGCACTGATTTACACCAGTCCAAGGCTTGCCAGCTGGCCGGACTAGAGACCCCAAGCCTCTACAGGGTGGCCACCCAGGGTGAAATACTTGGATGCCCTATAAAAACATGAGGTCAGGAGTAGAGAAATCCCTGTTTAAGGCTTGTCTCACCCCTACACACACAAACAGGCAGTGAAGGAGGAGTAAAGTACATACAATTTGTTCAGAGGAGAGCCGCAGGGATTTCTTGTAGGTTGGCAGAGATTTCTGTGTAGGGGCATCCATTGCTAACACGTCCCTGGAGTGCAGGGGCTCATCGTCACTGGATGACCCCTCTTCCTCCTGCCTATACAAAGAATGGAAGAGCATGTTGGCTTTACTCTCCAGACCATGGCTTTCCCCATGAGTACCAGGGCAGATCTGGAGGCGACCCAGGACAACCCACCCACCGGGAAGCAGCCATGAAGGAACTTGGCTGGACCGGGGTCAGCCAGAGCCTTAACAGAGCTTTCTGCCCTCACACATTAGGTAGATTGGGAATAAAAGGTCATTTAGGAGGAGAAGAGATTGGGAGCATGCACAGACTCCTAAAAGTAACCTAGGAGGGAGGCACTCACCTCTGCTGAGCAGAGTCAGGCTGCAGCGTCCCTATGTTGGCTTTCCCTGGCCTTGACTGCTGCTGCAGGCAGAGAGTAGTATCATTAGCATGTCAGTGCCAAGGGCAGGAGCAGAACCTGCTTTGCTTTACTGCCATTTGGAGCACCGATACCAGAAAAGAGGTGGCAATGCATCCCCCTGCCATCATAAGGACACTGCCCCAGGGAAGAGGAACCACAACCTGGTACTGTGGTGGGGCAGGGAGATCAGCAAACACATGTGGTGCCTGGGCTGTGGCACGAGGGGCATGTGACAAGAGGTCTCTCCATTACAAGGTCCACATTACCACTTTACCTGGTGTTGTTCTGCTGCTCAGGCATTAACAGACTCGAGGGGAGAGCAGCAAACTTCAGAAGTCACCTCACCAACAGGTCCCTCTGGCTGCCCTCATACTCAGCCTCAGACCATTCCCAGAACCCTGCTGCTCTCCTACACCCACCCCTGCCAGCCATCAGAATGACACCTGTCCCCTGGGGACACAGTTGTCACAACCACTGCTGCAAACACACCTCCTCTGCTGGGAATTCTTTCCTCCTCCAGGAGAACCACCACCTGCTGCCTTTCTTGGGCATCTTCTCCTTCACCAGTTGGTCAATGGTGCTCTGTGAATGTGGCAGAATACAGGATGAAGTCAGTGTCCTGGTTTCAGCTGGGATGTAGTTAACTGTCTTCCTAGTAGCTGGTACAGTGCTATGTTTTGAGTTCAGTATGGGAAGAATGTTGATAACACTGATGTTTTCAGTTGTTGCTCAGTAGTGTTTAGACTACAGTCAAGGATTTTTTCAGCTTCTCATGCCCAGCCAGGGCACCTGACCCAAACTGGCCAACAGTGTATTCCATACCATGTGACGTCCCATCTAGTTTAGGAACTGGGAAGTGGGGGGGGCAGGGTTTTTCGCCGCTTGGGGACTGGCTGGGTGTCGGTCGGCGGGGGGTGAGCAATTGCCCTGTGCATCATTTGTACATTTCAATCCTTTTATTACTACTGTTGTCATTTTATTAGTGTTATCATTATCATTATTAGTCTCTTCTTTTCTGTTCTATTAAATCGTTCTTATCTCAACCCAGGAGTTTTACTTCTTTTCCTGATTTTCTCCCCCATCCCACTGGATGGGGGGGAGTGAGTGAGCGGCTGCGTGGTGCTTAGTTGCTGGCTGGGGTTAAACCACGACAGTCAGCCCTCAGCCCAGGGAGGCTCAGCTGCCAATAGGCTAAGGAGACCCTTGCCCAGGCAGGGTTTCCTTTGCCAGATTATTCACAGGGTAAGATGTGTGACTCCTGCCACACTGTGAGCTGAGGTGGTTTTGGGGTGAAGGGTACAATGACCAGTTCCCTTCATGCAGCTTGAAAAAAAAGATCTGGATGCCTTATTCCATACAACCCCAGCCAGGTCTACAGAGCCCTGGAGCGGGCTCATGGAGTCCCAGATCCTCCAGACTGCCAGGGCCCTTGGCTCTGGCCAGCCTTGCACAGATTCAACCATCAGAATAGGAGATTTTTGACAAGGAAATCTCTGCTCTCCAGGTATCAGTGGTACCCAGGTCCCCAAAAGCCACCCTGAGGTCCTTCTGGGGGAAAGGACAGACCTCAGGGTTTGTGGGCTGGAGTGATGTTCAGCTCTGCCCGAGACTGCCCACAAAGCCCCAGATGGGTAGCTTGGCCTCTTGCAGCCCCACCGCACTCTTCAAGCCCTGCTGAGAAGCATGGCCAGTAAACGTGTTGTGCCACTGACCTCAGGAATGTTTCTCTGGAAAGCCTGCAGGGACAGGACCATGGGAGCAGCCACTGCCCAGTTGTAATACCTGGAAGAAGCAAGAAAGATGAGATCACCAGAACTCCTGGAGCAAGGGCTATTTTCAGATCGCCATCCTGCAGCATGGCCAGAAGGTCCCCTCCCACAACTACTGCAGTATAATCACTGTCTGGGATGGAGTCACACTCCTACAGGAGCTTTTCTGTAGGGACAAAGGGGCCACACTGCTCATCTCGGGATGAAGTGACAGGAAGAGCAGGCCACTCACTTCTTGTTGATCAGTATCACCAGGTTTGGGTCATCGATGAGTCCTGGATTCTCAGCAAACTGCTGGTAGGACACCATGTGCTTCATGAACTTCTCTGGTGGGAGAGCGGCTGTGTCATGCCAGTGGTATACATAATGGATTTCAGGACAGCAGATTCCCCCGCCCCTCCCACCTACCGCGGGAGATCTGCCTGCTGCCCCCCAGGCCTCCGCACAGCGACAGGGCAATCGCAGGCATCAAATCAGAATCAGAGTCCGTGGGACTGTTGGCAGGCAAGTCGGATGGCAGCTGGACACACAGGGGGTTGCTGGGGTCTGCCACAGGCCTTGAACTCTGCTCTGCATCACTACCAGCAAGAAAAGAAACAGTGGCAACATCAGGCAATAGCTTTAGACATACCTCTATCCTTTGCTCTAAGGGAATTGCTCAATAAGGTCTGAGCTTGGCCAGCTGGGGCAACCCATACCTCCTGGGGAAATAGAGAGCCACCTGCTCCTCATCCAGCTGGGAGAGGTCTTCCAGGTAAACGTCACTAGGACCCAAGTGAGGACTTCTTTTGATGGATCCTCAATGCACAGACAGAAGGGAAGAGAGCTTAACTGAATCACATTTCCAACCACCTCAGCATCTATCAAGAAAGCTAACAGCATTTTCCTCTATTATATTCGTATATCATATAAAGAAAGCATCTGTTTTCCTACTTGAAAAGCTGCCTTAAATCAACAGCGACGAAAGTACCTCAAGACACCTGCACAGGGATAAGACCACTTGCCAAGAGGACACAAAGGACAGGCCAAAGTCTTGCCTATGTTCTGCTATGCCAATCTGAAGGTGCTGCTTGAAGTTAGTACCATGCAAGATAACACTTTGTGATCTCCCTCTCTGTACAATGAGGAATCCCAAGCATCTCTTCTTCAGGGATACAATTTTGTTCTGAATTTGTGCTGGCTGGAAGAGTAAGGTTGGTTAGGACAAGTAACAACATAAAAGTCCTTAAATACACCATCAAGGGAGACATACGCATGCTTCGCTGTGATTTTCCACCTGACTTGGTGTGCTTGGGATGAAACACACATTAGATCAGGTGCCGCCAGACACTTCAAGTTAAGGTAAGGTCTACACTGCTGAGAAATCTTCTAAGTATGCAAAAGCAGAGACATTCAAGGGTGGACTTCAGGGAACATAAGGCAAGAAAGCCTTCCTTGGAAGCTGGGTGGACACTGAAAGGAGGAAACCTAAGGAATGTCTCTTCAAAGCAAAGGAGCTGGTAGCACATGGAGAAGGTAAAGCAAACATGTCACACCTTGAATACCCAGGGCAGTCATGAAGGAGTTACGCTGAATGAACAACCCAGCCCTCCACCCAAGTCAGATACATCTCTGGGCTCAAACACTGCTTCCAGCAGCACTAGTCACCCACTCACCTTGTCTCCTCTGACTTTCCAGCTGGGGCTCAGGGGCCTCCAAGCCCCCTGCAGCTCCCTCGAAGGGCTCCACATCTGGCTGAATGTCTGGCACAACACTTCTGCCTCCCTCCTGTTTCTCTTGTTGGGCTGAGGAGGCCTCCAACAAGCTCTCTTCCCCCACAGCACTGGGGATGTCCTTCAGTCTGGGGTGGCCATTCCCATCCTGGGGTGCGGGTAGTGGCTCAACAACAGACATAGCAGAGGAACAAGGTGTGCCCTGAGGTCCTGCTGGGCTTGAACCTCCTCCCAAACCTTCAGAGCTGGCAACAAGATGGGTTGCCTCATCCACTGGGACCGGTGTCGCAGAGACAGTGGTTGCTGCTGTAGCAATCGTCTTTGTGGACTTGGCTGGTTCAACTCGTTCAGATTTATTCACCTCAAGGAAAGCAGAACAGGTTTGAGGACGGGAAGTTGCCCAAAGCATCAGGCAGAAGAGGACAACGCCTCTAAGTCTGCCTGGCCACAGGGTTCTCTACTTTCTGCAGGCCTTTCAGACATCCCCCTCCCACCAGCTGCTAGAGGAGAGCAAGAACAGGGACTCACCTGAGGGAGCCTTCCCCAGGTCCACTGCATGTGGGATTCAGCCCCTAGAGCAAAACTCTCCTGCGGCCTGATCTCCAGCTCAGAGTCACTTTTGGGAGAAGATGGATGGCTCAGAGTGGGGCTACAAAAAGAGAAGGGAATGTGGACCTCATCTACCCTACAGCCCCATGCTTTCCTATTACAGCAGGAACCCTGTAAGGTTGGTTTCCCATAGAGTCAGTTCTGCCCCATAAGACTATCACAAATGAGCAAGACCTATAGGAATCTGAGGCCCAAGGAAGCAAAGTGCTATGCCACCAGTTGTCTAGAAGCAGCTCAGCAGCAGAGGCAGAAAGGCCCTGCGCACACAGGCTGATTCTGTCTGTAACCATGGCCAGAAGTATCCCTTGTGGGCTCTGAGCGTTCCTCCAGCCACACTATATCAGGCCAGGAAAACCCTCCTCTCATGACACTCCCAAATCCATTTTCCTTATCACCTTCCCAGCCACAAGGCACATTCCCAGCTCTCACCAAAGCTGAGCAGATCACCTTGGCTCTGCCCGTTACCTGTCCACAGAGGCCAGCTCCCCGTCAGAGTAAGGGTGCATCTCTGGGGACTGCAATGACCTGGTTTCTTCTTCAGGGAGATCAGCAAAGGAGAAATACACTGAATCACTGCAAAGGAGGAAAGAGGTCAGTTATGCTACTTTCAGGCACCAGCCTCCTCTCCTGGAAAGCTGGCAATACCCAACTTCACCATTTCCACTGGCTTTCTACTCCACAAGAGGCTAGGGTCCAATTTGGAAACACTTTCTCCATGTTTCAGCACTGCCGGGCACCACCGAGTGAACCTACAGGCTTGACCCACCACATCACCCTGCCCAGACCAAGCAGCTCACCTTGGGGCTGGCAGTTTGCACGGCTCCTCCACGGACATCTCGCTTTTGGTCTCCTCGCAGCCTTCTAACTCGGAGTCCACCACCTCCTTCCGCTTGGGCTTCCTCCTGCGTCGCCTCCTCTTGCGCAGGGTCGCTTCAGCACTGGAGGCCTCCTGCCCATGAGAGGGCTGAGCGGCATCCTCCGGGCTCTGCTCCGTGGGGATGGGGGATGTGCAGAGGCGGGAGGGGATGCTGCCCTGCAACAGGGATGGGAAGAGCCCATCAACTCCAGCACCCTCCTTTCCAGCCTGGCAGCTCATGGCTCTCGTCTATGCAACAGACACCACCAGCACAACCAACGCCACCGAGCCCTCAACTTGGGGGTGGTTTTGTGGCTAGGCCGATAAGGAAAGGTTTTGTATGTACAACACGTGAATAAAAAAAAAAAAGTAGGGCTATGCAGCCATAAGCTAAAGACATCTTTAACATCGGCAAGGAGAGGCAGGCAGGAGATGGCACCACAAGACCAGAATTACAAAAGCTGCAGACGGGATTCTGCTTTAGAGCCCTCTCCCTGCTCTCAAACCCAGCCCAAGCTAGCAGCGACCACAAGTCAGCCTGGGAGAGAGCTGCCAAGGTTTCTGGAAGCCACAACTAGTCTCATCCTGCCGCTTCCCAGTGGAGCGGGCAGCCTGCCACAGCATCTGGCTCACTCTCATCCCTGTCACAAGATCCCCCAAGAGGCCAACCTCCGAGGTATCTGCCTGGCTGGCCAGCAGCCATTCCCATTGATGGAGGCCAGTCTGAGATGCAGATATTTGGTCTAATGCTCCCTGAGGGTGCTCCAGTGCTCAGATCCTCTACACTGGTTGCAAGGTCCTTCAAGCAGGAACCTTTCTGGACACATGAAACATCAGAAGGGATAATGGAGTCACCGCAGTCCAAACCTGCTCCTTCCACCTCAAGCCTGCACTTCCAGGTGGTCACAGGAGGACACAGACCAGCAGCACCTCTTCATCACCAACCTCATTCTCCTCTGACTCCTGGACAAAGAAGGCCTCTCCATTGTCGCCCAGCTTCATGTGCAGGTCCACAGGCTCCCCATTGATTTCAATGTCGACCTGGTGAGGGGCAGAAGAAGCCTGTCCATCTGAACCCACTCACCCAAGAGTGTACAGGAAGGCACTTCCCCAGGGAGGGGATGAGTTGGGATTGCTCAGAGGGCTGACAGCCATCCAGCCTTTGAGGCAAGGGACCTCTCCTAACTTTCCTGGGAAGCACAGTCCTCTTTTGAAGAGTACGGGTTTCATTCAGGGGCATCCCCCCAAAAATTAGCAAGCACCCCTTTCAGCAGGGTTCCCATTCTCCCCAAACAAAGTTCTTCCATAACCTCTGGGTTATGGAAGATCCTAGGTCTGGAGACACCAGAGAGGAAGCATAATCCCAGGACAGGCACCACTTACCACCTTCTCCTTGGAGCGCAGCACACCCAGCTTCCCAAAACGCACGTGAAAAGGGGAGCACTGGAAGGAGTTATCAGGCTGCCTCACCACGACCACATCAATGCAGCCCGTCAGGGTGGCGGGATTCAGACCCCGGTACAGCTCCTTCACTGTGACAAAGACAGTCTCGGCAAGCTGCCCCACGTAGTTCATTGTTTGAGACTGCAAGTGAGAGACAGGAATAGACTCAGGTGGTGAAAAAGGGCTCCAGCAGCTAAATGCAATGCGAGTTTACTCTAGGAGAGTCATTTAACAGCTGCAAATACAGACCCATCATGGGGACAGGTAAGCCTCTAGGGAAACTGAGGCAAACACATGAAGGGCCTTGATGAAGATCATCCAGGGCCTCTGTGAGCACCAGAAAACAGGACAGAAGCCAGAGCACTAGTTATCACATTCAGCTTGGAGGAGAGAGACCTTTGCTATTGGGATGCACCATCACATCTGCCCCTTGGGAAGGCAAATACTAGCTCACAACAACACTTTGCAATCAAGCTGTCAACATCCCATTCAAACAAGAATTTGGTTGGCAGGAGACCTCCTGCTCTGCACTGTCCTTAAAAAAAAACCCTCAGGGCAGAGAGGTGGGAAGTCCAAGGAGCTGCTGCATACACCACATGCTCACATTGAACAGAATCCAAATCTAATGTTTCCCACTCAGAGGGGAAGGCATCCCACCTAGGCATTGCTGAATCAGCCAGACATGGCCCTTGTTAAAGCCAGAACTCCCTGGTCTCCATGTCTTGGCCCCTGCCGCCATTATTGATCTCCCCAGGGAATCCCAGCAAAGGGGCTTTGCTGCCTGGAGGGTACCAGGACAGCTCTGCAACTCTGTTTTCACAAGGCACTGCTGCACTCCAAGGTTGTGTGGCTCCTGGTTTTCATCAGCAAGAACACATGGAGGGAAAGCCTTGCCTGCTTCCCCCTCATCCTTTTGCCTGCTCACGTCCTCCAGCTTCTCACTCCCCAAGCGGAGACAACTCTTCTCCACTGCGCTGGAGGAAAGGCATGGCTGCAAAGGCAGAGATTCGTGTGGTCCGTGCTGGGGCTTGCAGCACAGCCAGGCCTCCAGCATGTGAGGTGGCATGCAGGCTCCAAATGGCTTATGTGCAGCCTCCCTTCCTGCAGCCCACCGCTGGCAGCTGCCTCCTGGTCAACACATTGAAATCCGCAGAGTATTTTCTTGCAGATCTGTGTCGGGGTGCTGGGTGTTGGTCCCAGTCTCTGGGACAGAGGAGCCCCTTGCTCCGTTTGCTCAGCACTCGGCATCAGCAGGACAGCAGCATCAGCAGGACGACGGTCTTGGTGTCAGCACATCACACCAGAGACTGGGAACCACAGAAGCTGAGCGCAGCTTCCCAAGCTGCCAGCTCTGCACCCCACCTTGCCCCAAGGAGAGGATGAGGACACAGAATAACCACTTCAGAAGGACCATGGATGAACTAAAGGAAGCCTCTTGAGCCAGCAGCACGATCAGACGATGGCATGGTGTCCCCAGGGGCTCTCAGCACAGCCCCCAGTGCACACCCAACCCATGGGGTGGCTGGTGAGAGTTGGTTCCTTACCCAAAGGGACGAGGACAAGCAGGTGCCACTGGATGAGCCCTCTGCCCCAGCAGGCACCCAGCCTCTCCGATCCGTTTTGCACAAGCTCAGCCCTGTCCCGTTCCCAGACATCCCTCCTGGAAGGCAGTCTGTGTGGGGAGACCTGGTCCCTGCTCCATGTCCTGTCCCCCCTGCCAGGAATAAGCCCAAAGCCCAGATCCTGCCCCGGGGGAGAGGGCAGGGAAGCGCTAGCCTGTTCCCGAAGCTTCGGTGCCTCCATCAGCTCTGCTGTGAGCGGGGCCAGGGTCACGGGGCCACCCACCAACCTGCTGAGCCCAGCTTTCCCCAGCATCGCTGCCGGGATGGGCAGCCCTCCAGCTGCCTTCCCCGCTGTGCTGCAGGGCCTGGCAGCAAACAGGAGAGAGCTCCTCGCTGCAGAGGAGGGGATTTTCAGAGAGGAGGAACAACTGGGCTGACCCCGATGCTCCCAGGGCCGTGCTGACAGGCTCCTGGCTGGGCTCTACATCGAGACAGACCTGAAAAGTGCATAGGGAAAATCCCAGGCAGATAAGCCTGCACAGCCCATAGGGTTTGGAGTGGGGGCTTGGAAAGAGTCCCCAGGAACAGCCCCACGCCGAGCAGCGCCTTCACAGTGAACAGAGTGCAAGGGCTTAGCACAGCGCTGCAGCCAGCCAGCAAAACATGCTGCCGAGCGCCTCGTGCCAGGGCCACGTCCCCGCTGCGAAGCCAGCGTGCCCCCCCCCAGGTCTTCACGCCTCATTGCCTAAATGGGCAGCTGCTTCTCCCCCAGCATCTGCCTGCACATTGCCGGGGATGTGCTCAGCCCCAGAGCTCGGGGCAGCGGGAAGGGGATGGTTCTGATAGTTTTCAGCTCAGTGAGTTTAACTCGCTGTGGGTTTCACCCAGGGCAACTGCAGACAGGCAGAGAACAGAGAGAAGAGGCTCAGCCTTCTCACAGCTCTCAGCCGCACCATGGATGGAGCAGGTCCATTCAGGAGAGGAAGAGTAAGTTACACTCTGAAGAGAGATTCATAGGCGGACAGGGCAGGAGAAGGGTTTTCAAGGGCACCAAGCCACATTCAACAAATAAGCCCTACAGAGGAACGGGGCATCCCCACCCCTCAACCCCAGAAACGGCAGGATCACAGCCCTTCACCACACGGCTCTAGCAAAGGGGGCAACCCTCCGCCATGGGGGCGACACAGCTCACATCCACCCCTCCAGCTAAAAAGCCTCCCCAAACAAGCCAGCTATTTCGCTAACACCAGCCTGCTCTGCTCCTAGGTGGCAGCCAGCCGGGCCACCCCACAAGCAGCACCCCCTTCCCACCCTGCACGGCCACGCTCCCCACCCACCACACGCTGCCAGCTGCCCGGCACCGTCCCCGTTACCTGGGCAGCTGCTGAACCTCAGCACCGCCTCAACTTTGGGGCGACCAGCCCAGAAATCTCAGGAGCTGCTCTCTACCGGCAAAAAAGCTCGCTCGCCTCAGCTCCTCCTCTCCCTACCGCTTCCTTCCTCTCACCTGAGCAAGGGGAGGGCCCCGGCTCCCAACCACCTCCCGGTTCTCCCGCCGGAGCAGCTGTGTCTCATTGCAACCGCCTCCTTGGCTCCAGCAGCTCCTGGCAGAGATGCCAACTGCCTTGCGCTGAGGGAGACCCTTCCTCCCTTCTTCTCCAACCCACCATCCCGCCAGGCCACTGCAGCCCAACCCACCGAGCTGGAATTTCCAGAGACAGTCCTTTCATTTTCCAGACCAGATCTCTCAGCGTTTAACCCCTCAGGGCACAAACTATACCAAACCCCAGATCTCAGGACCCGGGTCGGGGAGACCGAGCCCTCTGGAAAAGGTGCTTGCAGAGGCTGAGCGCACAGTTCTGGGGAAGATCTGCCCTTTAAAAGCTGCCTTGCAATGGCTGGAGAGCATCCTCACACAGCCGTGGCTGGGCTGAGAACAGTCCAGAGTGGGAAGCATATTGCTAAGGACCCTATGCCAGATGCTAATTTCTCCCTCCTCCATAGGGTCATAGGGATTGCTATAGGGTCATATGGACTAGGACCACGAAGAGTGGGTAGGGTGATAATTGCTGTGTTGCTCGCTTAATTGCTCCTGGATGTAAGACTGGGTGCACCTTGGCCAGATTTCGACTGGGAGGAACGTGGAAGGCGCTGGTGTGTCGTGCTTGTAGGGAGGAACGAGGCTTCACCAGAACCCAAGGGTTTAGGGCATTTTGAGGGATATTTTTAGCTGCCCCTCAGTAACTGCAAACTTTGGAAGAGTGAATTTGGGTGAGTTTATTTCATTGTGCAGCCTGGGACTGGGACCAAACTGGGACACCGGGACCTTTTGCACAAGCCAGCCTGTGCCCCTGGGCAAGCAGGGGAAGGCAGTGTTTCCTACCACGGCAGCACCGGCTGGGACACAGCTAATGTCACCCACCTTTCTGCAAAATCCTCCGAGGCTGCTGCGGTGCCATGCCATACACCTTAGGGTGCCTAACTTGCCTACTGCACCCACCCTTGGCACTCCTGGGTGCAGCCCTGGGGGCTGTCACCAGAGGGTGGTGGCTTTCCCTCCATTTCTCCCAGCCTCTAGCCCTCCCCACCCTTCCCCTGCACCACAACTTCCCAGGGTGTGGGTACCCTGCACCCCAGCAGCCCCTGCCTGTGGCCCAATATCACCTCTCCACCTCCATCATTGTGGCTTTCTGCCTTTTTTTTTTCTCCCTGTTTTTTTTTTTTTTTTTCCTGCCATGGCCTTAGGAAAGCTTTGGGACACAAAGAAGCACTGAGCATCATTTTACAGAGGCACCACCAAAGCTCACAGTGAAGTCCTAACAAGACATAAAGGGAGGGAGTGGGTGGCCAAGCCCCAGGGGTTCCTCTGCCCTGCATTATCTCCAGTGGGATGAGAAAAGAGAGCATGAGTTGAAATAATAGCACAAAAAAACAGAGGCTTTGTGAACACTGAGCCTCTCCTGATCTCAATGGGCTTGGCAGCAGTGGGGAAGCGATGCAGGAATAGCCAGGTAGACTCAGGTGAGAAACTGAGGCAGTGGAGTTTTTTTGTGCTCCCAAAAAAGTGCATTGGCTCCCACCAGACTATGACTCCCCAAGGGCAGAGATGTGGCCAGTACGGGCTCTGCCCCACGACTGCCCGACCTGCTCTGCAAGTGATTCCCCAGCACCCTCTGCGCTGAGTTTTGGAGTGACATGGATTGAGTGGATGCAGCTCCTGGTCTGCACAAGAGATGGTGGCACTTTGGGGAACGAAGGCTCTTCTGCTGGTGTGCGCACAGGACTCTCCCACCCATCACTCGTGGAGCTGACATTGCTCTGTGAGAGCAAGGAAGTGCCAAAGCTGGAGGGAGGCTGCTTAGGACCTCTTTAGTCTGTGAGGAGAAGGGTCCAATCCACCTGAGCTGGTCACAGCTGATGGGCTGATCTGCAGAAATGCCACAGCTCATTCCCAGGCAAGCCCCGTTCCCTCCCTGCGTCCCACCTTCCTTAGCTGTGCCTTACTGGTAAGGTTGGTGGCAGTGGGAGGCACAGAGATCCCCCCCTGAGCCCATACAGTGCCAAGCACAGCCTGGACATGAGGTC